AGTGGACACCTTGTATTTACAACTGTGTCAACACACAGAGGTAATGTAACTTTGACAACAATAAAAGCAGGCATGATATTAAGTATGATGGATTAACTGAGGCAGGTCATTTTCAAGTGTCTGCAAGTTGAGTCTTGCAGCATAACGGAAGAAATTGGAACCACTGGCTGCTTTCCAGGTTTGGAAAAACTGATTCAGAAGTGTAATATGCCTTTGAAAATTGCAGAGCATTTTTGTAAAGTATGTTTTATGTCATATAAATGGGCTAAAACATGCTAAAACACAAACTGATAGAATTTGCACAGAAAAACACATAATTTTTGGAAAATATCATAGATGTTTGCTGCAAAGCTACGGAGTGCAAATGTTAGAAATCACAAGCAAACCAGCCTCAAAGTATTTGCACTCCGGCTGAGTAACACCACACATATTTCCATGTCGTGTGAATATAAATTAAATCTGAGGCATTTTCTGTGGCCAGCGGTCTACCTGCCAATTTCGACCAACTGCAGAGGAGAGATTGGTGTGACCCTGATGGATAGAGATAAGTGCAGGCATTTTTGCAGAGAGAGAAGTGCGTCCCCTACAGTGCCTTGCTCAAAGTGGCTCTGGAAAAATTGATGAGAAACCGCGGCTGGCAAGGAGTTCAGCAAATTGCTTTCAAGTCCTTCCACTTGTGTTGTTCCAGTGCTTGAGCTCAAGAAAAGGAGGGATTATGTTTTTTTCCCAGCAGATTTCTTGAGGGGAGTGATGACAGACACACTGAGAGCAGGATGGATGGAAATACAGTGGCAATGGGAGATAGTGGTAGATTGTAGATAGATGCAAATTTTGGTCATGTGATTGAAAACTGTGGTGCTGGGATGCATTAGCTGCTAACAATAATGGTATAATGCAGGTGATGTATGATATGTATATTGCATGTTGAGCAGGAATAAGAGCTGAAAAGACAAGAGGTGGTGAAAGCAGCAGACCATACACTCATAATATACTGTGCAGTTTTAGTATGGACAGACATTAAGACAGTTTAAGTCAACATGAAATATATAAAATGAAATGTATTAATATAATAGTACGAATTCTAAAGAGGTTCATTTAGAGCTGAGACCCGAAACACACAAAAACCCAAACCTGATATACTATTTTTATTATTTACATCTGTGTTTATTATATTTATTTATTCTACAAATAGGTGAATAACACTGACAAACATAATCTGAACAATTACAAAACTAAGAGATGGAAAAACAGACAAACATTCAAAACTAAAAATGTAAAGAATTTAAAAGATATATATATATATAATTATATAATATAATTTACAATTTATACAAAATGTATACAAAAGGGGAGAAAAAGGAAACCAGCCCTATTAGCAGTTACATCAGTTCATCATACCATGCATCATTTAGTATGTCATTATGCTCCAGGAAATCATAACCTGATATACAATTTAATTTGTAGCAAAATAACAGACGCAGAGCACCATTGTCATCGAATATGTGTTTGAGCTGTAAGTTAGTCTGTACTGAGTCACATCTATGCATTACAGAATATATGAAAGTTTCAGCTTGGGCACAACCTACTGTAGAGCAAGGGATTTGGTTTCTTTTAATTTGAAGGCATACTCGACATACCTGTTCACTGGGGCTTAACATTTAGTCACAAACGTCTGTAGCTTCACCTGCAACTGAAAAATTGCTAAGTCGACAAAGGTTTTTGTGGACAGCTATTTGGATGAGACGATTACCTGATTTCATGATACAAAAATATGCATATAAAGATGGATAAACGAATGCGTCCCACAGAGCTTTGCCTCAAGTGGTGCCTTCAAAGTCAGTGGGGAATTGTGAATTACAGAACTTGCTTTAGGACATACGCAGTTACCCAGTTGTTCCACTAGAGTGACTGACTCCCCTAACATTTACTTGGGAGGAGGGGGAGGGACAGACCGACTTACAGATGGATTGATGGACAGAAAATGTAATGGGAAACAAAACAACGACAGGAGGGGAAAAGTGAATGTGAAAAAACCTGAACGATAGGGATGCTGAGATGAAACAACTTGAGTAAAAAAGGAGTGTAGGAGCAGAGAGTGGCAGCCAGGACTCGGTACAAGCCAGCTGTCAGTGCTAATAGACAGAGAAGGATGGAGGGAGGGGGAAGGAGAGGAGGAAAAGGGGAAGAGATGTTCAGGCCAAACAACCTGTCACCAGCCATAACGGAGCATAACGCAACACAGCTGCCTTGTCTGAATGTCAGAAAAAGAAACTTCTCTGGCAGTTTGGAGAAGAGTCTGCGAGCGGTCTAAATGATACTCTCAAATGGATAGATGCTGTCTGCTTCAGTGGCACAGCCAAAGAATAGAGATGATGGTCCCAGTCAGTTCTGCGGAGGACAAGTCAGCTCAGATGGCGGTTACTGCAAGACTCAGCATCAAGACTCTTATTTCCTTGTCCGAAGTTCTGTTTCTGCCCGGCTGTTTGGCTGTTTTTATGGGTCACGCGTGTATTCATACAGGATGCTCAGACATCAGCAAAGATGAAAACATCTACTAATTGACAAGAGTGAAGGCTTGGATTCGCTCACTTCTAGTAGTCCAGTCAGTTTCTCGGTGATCAAGTAATAGCTGAGATCTCGGATGGTGACATTGCCTAAAATATGTCCAACAGGACAAGAAACACTAACAGTCAGATAACTGCACTTATTTTATTGTAACTGATCCTATGACCAGAACTACAACAATACAACCCAAGTTGTAGTAAGCCATGGTTTCCTTTAGGCTAAATGGGAAAATAGTTCAATTGTGCTAGGGTTAGTAAGTGGTGATGAATCAGCTGTAGAAAATTCCAGGAGTTGACCGAGTGCACAACAGGAAGTAGAGCAGGTCTCCTCCATTGTCCACTCTGGACTGCCACACACCAATTTCCAACTCCCAACTCAACACAAGCCTTGTAGTCAGTGACTCTCTTTCCTTGAACAGATAAGGTTTTCTCTGTCTGAAAGCTGTGATTTACTTTTACAGAGCTGCAGTAAAGGTTATATGTACTAAATCCACTTGCCACTGGATGTTGCACTAGAGCACCAGAATCTCAGACCAAAACAATGGGACAAATCAAAACTACCAAAACTGACTTTGTTATTCTTTCCATAGTCTTTCCAACAATCACAAATGCTGGTTTTGAGCTAAATAAACCCTTAATTCACAGTTAGATGCAAAAATATTTGTGAAGATGGCTACAATGGCCACAACGTAAGCTAATGTTAATGTCCACTGAAAGTTCTTGTGCTTTCAAGCATGGATCCCTACCGATATAGACCTTTAGTTTAACCAGTAACAACCGTAATATCACCACCAGACTCCATAGAGAAAAGTGGTCATTTTACCTTGCATATCATTGGAACATCATAACTTCATTCAAAGTGGACAGAAACTAAATAAAACCGTCACTGTTAGTCTTTCCACTGTTTCAACAATCACAAAGTCTGCTTTGGTTATAATAAATCCTTAATTCATTGCAGTAGGTGAGAATAACTACAGTTTCAGTCGCTCTACTCAACTGCACAAGGAGCAGACCGGCTATGTAGGGAGCCAAGAGTATCAATTTCTTGGTACTATGAGCACAGTGAGCAAAAACTTAACCATAGATTCCTCTTATCCAACAAGTAAGTGTCAGTAATTTCCAAAAGGACCGCCACATTAGTTAAGGTATCTCGGGTATAGGTGATTTAAACTTGCTCACAGTTAGGAATAAAAAAAATGATCGTCATAACAGACACAAACCAGTAGTCTCTGCTGTCAGATTACATGTCTAACCATCCATCTTGACCTCTCACTGTGACTTTTTTCTGTGCTATAAGGTCCATACCACACTTTTTCTGCAATTGTAACCCCACATAAATATAGACCATTTTCAGCCTGCTCAAAAAAAGGCTAGGGTTATTATTTTTCTCCCGTGGACAGAGTCCTCTCATCCAGCCAACTGCTTCTTCGGTGTGCTCGGGACTTAAATTACTGTAGGTCAAGAGCTGTAGAGCCACAGAGCTGATATTTTGATGATTAGTGCTTTCTGCTTCAGTGAAAGCAATGTGGTTATGGAGAGGATTGTTGGTTCAGTGGAGAGTGTGTTAGCTTGGACACTGCTAGAGATTCTTTCTGGTACCTGTTGTACACTGATGGACCTCTTTATATCCGTAATTTCTTTATTGAAGCATACAAGAGAATCCAAAGAGATCCTTAAAATTTCATGAAGGTTCGTGTATAGATCATTCAGGTCAACTTTTATTGATGTCACCAGACAAGGGAGGGTCTTGAGGGTTTGGATGATGTAATGGATGGTGTCTTCATTTAACCTGACAGCCATGTAGAAGTTGCTTTGAAGTGGAGGTGACTGTGACAGTCAATTCAGCAGAGGAATAATTCACTTGTGTCAGTTCTGTGACAAATGTCTCTCTGTGATTACTTTCCAATCCAGCCCTTGGATTTTAACTGTCAACTCAAAAGCGTTTTTTCTGAAACTCCTTAGTCCTGAGAGGAGCTGGCAGTGATCTTCGTGTGGGTCTTAACATACAGAAAGTTTCATGGGTAGTAATCCTTGACTAGAGACGAAAGTGTCCTTGTGTTTGAGCAGTACAGCTGACTCCTACCTGCCTCAGGAGCGCTAAATTAACTTGGGGAACCTTCACCTGTTTAAACTTAAAAGAACAAGCTGTGGTCTTTTGAATTTTTTGAATTTTTAAATATCTGGAAGTCAGAAATGTCCAACCACTACCTTTCATCTGGATTAAACCTATTTCCTTTCTGGTGTGATGATTTCTTCAAACAAATATTTTGTGTAGTTGAACCTGGTGTCATATGTTCACTACTATTTGCATTTGTCTGAGATTTATTCCTGTTCCTGCGTTACCAAATGTCCAGGCTCTTTTCAATATGTCTCGGCACATTTGCAATGATACAAAATTTGACTCTCTGCCCTCTTTTCTTCTTTCCGTTCCTCCAGATATTCGCGGCCTGCAGGGTTTTCTGGACCAGACTTCCCGTCAAGGCGTGGACGTGGCCTTGCAGAGAGTGGACAGGAACATCAGTAAAGTCTTCACCAACCTCTTCACCACCATGAGGACTGAGGAGCTCAACCGGTACAGAGACACCCTACGCAGAGCCATCCTGCTGCTCAGCCCCCATGGAGCGCACTCTTTCATCCAGCAGGTCGGTCCACATTCAGTTTATCAGCACGTGCACAGCAGGGGAATGTGTCTGCATGTGTGTACAGATGAGTTTGTATGGGAACAGATGCCTACCTATGTCTGAATACATGACATGTTTGCACACACAGGGAACAAGCTACTGTAAGTGTGGAACATAGTTGTGTATATGACAAACACAAGTTTGCACAGGCGTGTGCTGCTGCATAAAGCGTGACTCAATACATATGTGTATATATGGAGCAAATGGCTGTTTAGAGGAGTATAAGTGTAGAATATGTGGGGAAGAACTCAATACAGAAAACAAATGTGTATGGATGTGTTTGAGTGGAAACTAATGAGTGCACATATGTTTGCAGGGTAAAAAATAGATCCATATTGTGTATAAGAAACTATTATGCAAAGACATTATACTAATAAGTGCATTTGTGGATGCCTGCGTGTACACGATAATGTACAAGTAATTGTACATATGCATTCACACAATGTTGACAGAAAAACAAGTGAAATTTATAAACAAATGTGTGTGTGTGTGTGTGTGTGTGTGTGTGTGTGTGTGTGTGTGTGTGTGTGTGTGTGTGTGTGTGTGGGCGCCCAGGTGTGAGTGGCCACCTGGAGTGACAGATGGAGCTGGTTGGTCCACAAACACACACACACACACACACACACACACCAAGAGGGGATGCTGAGTTTTGCTCAATATTTATTACCTGTTTAATTTTTCACCATGAGTCCTGTCCATGGATCACACCATGGACACTGTGTGTGTGTGTGACTGAATTATTTACGTGTTCTCTGTGTGTCCCAGATAAAAAAAAGAATATAAAGTATAAGATGTTGCCAGCTGCTAATTTTTACTGGTTATCAGATTATTGTCATTGTCATGATAACATGTATAACAAGGGTTTACATACAGTAACATGTTACTTATGGCAAAGGTTTCTTAAGAAAAACAACAGAAGCACGACATCAGTGTTGCAAAAGTTTTAAGCTGTAGCATTGTCTTTCGTCGTTTCCTAATTGCAGCATTTAAGTTAAAATGTCCAAAGAAAATGGGACACCAAAATAGAAAGTTATTAATTTCATGCAGAGAGACAGAAAGAGAGAGATTTCTTTGTTTGTGCACCGGGATTTGTATTCCTGTGTGTGTGTGTGTGTATGTGTGTGTGTGGTGTGTGTGTGTGTGTGTGTGTGTGTGTGTGTGTGTGTGTGTGTGTGTGTGTGTGTGTGTGTGTGTGTGTGTGTGTGTGTGTGTGTGTGTGTGTGTGCTTTATGACTTATTTAGCTGCTTTGAGGGAGCGTATGTGACTCAGCCTCCACTGTGCAGGGCGACCTCTGACTTCCACAGCTCGCCTCATTCATATTGACGTCCTGGGCCCCCTTTTTACAAATCTCTACCTGCCAGGAGTGTGTGTGTGCAGCAGGCTTCTCATTTTTCTGCCCAGGCTGCCAGTCAAGCTTCGTTGCCATGGCAGCAGCAGCATAAGTATTAATGCCTCTCTCCCTCTCTCTCTTTCTCCATCTGACTTCCAAGAACAGAGATGGTTGTTTTTATGTCTTAATTAACCTGACTGCGCGCACACACACACACACACACACACACACACACACACACACACACACAACACACACACACACACAGGGCTGTGCAGATGTTTGCAGATGTTCGAGCAAACTGTCACGTGTGTCACACATGGTCACAATGTGTGTGCAACAGCTGAAAGGGAAGCAAAGCTCTGATACTAAAGGGTGATTCCATAGAAAACACAGCATGACGAGCACAGATGGATCAGAAAGAAGCCTTCAATTTATTCGTAAGAAAAGAGGAAGAGTAAAAAGTAGAAAACCTCCAAACACAAACCAGTTCTAATGTCTAAGTGTTTAGTTTTCCATTGAAACAGTTGCTTTTATCAGATATCAGACATTTCTCCCCAAGGCTACAATCTACATGTTTAATTTAATTTGCTCTCTCTGTTCCTTTACTCAAGTCTCCCATATGCTTTAGAATTTATTCATTAACGTTTATTAAATCCTGCAGTAACAGATGGTGCACTCGCAGCCTGGATGGTCACATCGATGGTTCACAGCCTGTCAATCAGCTGCACACTCACAGCCTGTGTGTGTGTGTGTGTGTGTGTGTGTGTGTGTGTGTGTGTGTGTGTGGAGAGGCTCCTGTCTCTTCCAGCAACACCTACAGCTGCACTTTTATACACTTATATATCCATAAATTGATGTGCCGGACCGCTTATTGTATCTTCCGCACACTGGGCCACACGTCAGAGTCCTCTGTGGTTGTTTCCGTGGTCAGTCACTGCTCTGTGTTTTCAGCAGCAGCAGGAGGGTGGAAGGCTCAGCAGCCTTCTGTACACTGAGCTGTGTGTGAAAGAGAGAACATGCCAAAAAGAAGTGAGTCACGAGAGCTGAAGGTGTGTTATAAACACCTGCTGTGGGTAGTTCACTGTCTGTAATAACAACAGGACAGTGTCTGTGGGTAGTTCACTGTCTGTAATAACAGCAGGACAGTGTCTGTGGGTAGTTCACTGTCTGTAATAACAGCAGGACAGTGTCTGTGGGTAGTTCACTGTCTGTAATAACAGCAGGACAGTGTCTGTGGGTAGTTCACTGTCTGTAATAACAGTAAGACAATGTCTGTGGTGAGTTCACTGTATTAAATGTGGTTTAGAAAAGGTTGATGAGGTAAATTAAACAAGTAAAATAAACACTTGCTACGTCAGTGTTCATCATCTCCCTGAGGAAACATCCTGCAGACACGACCACAAAGCGCTCTTACTGTTTTACGACATCGCCCACAGAGTTCTACCCTCAGTATAAAGTCATAGAAAATGATAAACCTCCATCGTGTGCGTGATAAAAACGTACACTGACTGTTTATTAGAGGCAGAAATGGAGCTCATCCCACTGTTGTTTGAACAGAGGTCATAAATATGTTAGACTGTTTCCTCTTTAACTGCGTCAGCGGAGCTCATCAGGACACGATTCCAGCACTCTCCATCGTAATGAGCAGACAGAGGACCGAGCAGAGGGGCTGCCTTCTCTCTTAAGATACTGAAATGAGATTGTGTGTGTGTGTGTGTGTGTGTGTGTGTGTGTGTGTGTGTGTGTGTGTGCGTGTGTGTGTGTGTGTGTGCTTTTCTCAGGTAGGTCGGTCTAATAGTGTTAATGTCCATGTTTGACTGTGAATGTCTATAAAATAGTGGGAAGGTTTGGCACAGAAACAAATGGCTCCTGTTTGTGTGTGTGTGTGTGTGTGTGTGTGTGTGTGTGTGTGTGTGTGTGTGTGTGTGTGTGTGTTTCTTGACGCTGAGACATTCATTAGCACCCGAACATGACGGCGTAGGAGGGTGAGACCGAGCTGAATGGAAGTTGCACTCTTCAATAATGTCATGGAAACGTGTTAAAAGCTTTGGCAAGTTTTTCCACACACACACACACACACACACACACACACACACACACACACACACACACACACACTCACACACTCACACACTCACACACAGCCATGATAACAAACTGGCTGTGAATTTTCTGCCAGAACTTGTTGTTACTTCCTGTTTCCATCCCATTTACAGTCAGTCTGGTTCAGTGGAGGCATCGGCCAGGTTTCAGCCTCGTCTATCAGATTTTACTGATAGTTCGATCGAGTGCCGATCACATTATTAACACACTGATGTAAAATCAATGACTGTTCTCCTGTAGCTATTAGACAGTATTACAATCAGAGTTCAGTCAATCAATCAAGCATTCTTTGGCGTAAGGCGGTGAGCTGGTGAGGTTCCTCCTCTAACCCGCCCCATGCTAAATAACTGAACTCGATCCAGGACGAGTGGAATTCAGTTTGAATGGTAGTAGCAGTAATTTAATTTACTTCACTTACTCGTAGAACCAGAGTTACATCCAGATAACTTCTGTTTCTAAGTTGATCTGTAACAATTTACAGAAAGACAGAAATAGACAAAGCTAAAAAACAAAGCTGAACAAAGATGGCAAAAGTATTATGTACATATAATAGGTGGAAAATAGGTGTATGTACTGTAAATATATATAAATATATATAAAAGTTACAACTAACAACACACACACATATATAGAGACAGACACACACACACACACACATACACCATGTTGCTGCCACAGTTTTAATGTGTCATCAATCACTCCTTTCTTACCTTTATTTGTTTTTGGTCCTTCTTTACCTTCCCTCCTCTTTTCCTTTCCTGCTTCCTCTTTTCTCACCTTGTCACCTCCTTCATGTTTTCCTCTCCTTTTCTCACCACTCTCCCTTTCTCCTTTTCGTTCTTATCCCTTCCTTTCATTTCTCCTTCTCAACTCATCTTCTCTTTTTTCCGTGTTCTTCCCCCCCTTTTCCCATCTCTTCCTGCCCTCTTCTTTTCCTCCCTCATCCCTTCTTTTTACATTCCTCTATCCTTTTCTCCTCCACTTCCTCTTCTTTTATGAGAGAGAGAGACAGAGAGAGAGAGAGAGAATTTATAAATCACTAGAGGAGTGAAGTTTAGATTGGGAGGCGGGACGAAGCCAACGGTAGCCGGGGGAGACAGATTGACTGACAGGATCCTATCAGGCTGCTGAGCAGTGATGAGTGACACCTACACACTGTGTGTGTGTGTGTGTGTGTGTGTGTGTGTGTGTGTGTGTGTGTGTGTGTGTGTGTGTGTGTGTGTGTGTGTGTGTGTTTTTTACATGTCCTCAGGGCAAAAACCCTCCAACAGCAAATTGAAAATGACCTCAATAAACAGAAACACAAACCATTTTCTCTCCCACTCGCTCACACACACACACACACACACACACACACACACTCATTGTTTCATTCATTCACCCACTTAAAGGAACACTACATGTTTTTTTGTGACCTGCTGTGTCCTCTTCGCTGCAGTTTTCTCCTGTTTGAGCTGCAGGGCAGAAACATACGATGAAACACAACGGGACCCTCACAAATGTCGGTCCACAGCGAGACAATGATGATAGCGAGTCTAGACCATACTCCTTAAAAAAGTATTTACAGAGACCCAACAGTTCCCACCATGAGCAAGACCTTGGTGACAGCGGCAAAGAAAAACGTCCTTATAACCTTTTAAGAATCTAGTGAAATGAAACCCTGTTTTTGGTATTTATTAACACTATATTTCTTCAGTAATATCCAGTTATAGAAGTTACCTCTCCAAATGTTACTTTTTTTTTATGAGTGTCACAGTTTTACTCTCCGTAGTATATTTTTATGTAAAATTTGTGCAAAGTATCTTGTTAGAAAAGTTTAATGGAAACAGCAAGTTTTTATGCTCGCTTGAGTCAATAATCTTAATGGGAGATGGAAAGACTTTTTCTGAAT